CAGGTGCATTTAATTGTTCGGTTTCTTGCCTTTCACGAGTATGGCGACAATGACCGAGACGCAGTTTTTAGTGCAGGCGACAAAACAGTTCGAATTTGAAACTGAATAACCGTAGGAAGGCAAGAACTGACTATTGATGTGATGGCAGTCTTAAACTGCAAACTTCATCATTTCACTACGCGTGTGTAATGAGGAATGAAGGAATAGGGACCATCAGATTATCTTTATAACAGCAACAGAGAAAACAAAATGTCGACCATTTCGATCGAGGGCTTCATTTGGCTTTGGAGAGTGGCAGTGAACAGCATAACCTGCAACGAAGATAGATAGGCCATTTTTGTATAATATCTTACTACAGATAAAACTGCCACTAGAAAGTAAGTGTGGTCAAATAAAAACAAGACGAGTTACAAACAGAAATTCAGCAAATTTACCGGATTTCATTTTTTAGATACATAGCTGTAATCGCAAGGCTGAGAAACACGGACGAAAGAGACGGGAAAAATACAGGCCGATGTCTTGTTTACATGCGGTGTGGACAGTTTGACGATAACAAACTTGGTTCATCACTGCAAGGCGATCGCTTTGAAATTTCTACGCGAAGTGCTACACAACTGAGTTTTCAAAAATAACACCACCATAACATCTGAGTGTCGTGCATCAAATCGATCGATGATAGATGACTAGCCATTATTAATCGACGATTAATCTTAATTGATCATCATTAGGTAGTAGTGCTGCGTGTTCCGTAAGTAGGTGGAGTGTTCCACGAAATTTTAAAGTGGCCAACGGTCAAACGCTGGATCGCATATTAGAGCCAAATACGACTGTCGGCAATATAATCAACCGCAAAGCAAGTCTTAAGAAATCTCATAAACCCCGAAACGAGCGGTTAAGGAAACCGCAGAAGAAAGGAATTAAATATATTATTATGTCGAAGAGAAAAGTACACTGATTGCCGACGATGCGTAGATTAGACGCGCGCCGCTCGAATTCAACCTCCAAAATGAGGGCGTGGCGAAACATTTTGCCGCACATCGTTTGACAACAGACGACCAAGAAATACTGTCTAACCGTATAACTACATATCTGACCATCTGCGTTGGCTCAGGTAGGTGGAGTAGAAAAAAGCACAGACGACGAGGCTTCGACGATTCTGAATAGTTAGACGGTTCATCAGTGCAAAATGCCTGCGCTGGCAGTCGATACACCCGAACGGTGCGTGGGAAGCAGGTCAACCTGACAGATGTCATCTTCAATCCTTTTAATAGGCCGGTTTCAATGCTTCAGTAGTTAGTTACTATTATTCGGTGATACCAGCATACATACTATAAGCAAATTCGGAGTTTCAAATGATATTCTCGCCCTTAAGATCCACGAGCTGTCACGTGAACCAGCAAGTTAGACGAGACGCCGGTTTGCCCCTAACGGCTGCCTCCGTCCACACCGTGGCCTGACGATGATAATCAGCTGCTGCTGGCATTTCATACAGAACGACTGCAGCTTTTAATATCTCTGACTCCAGCACAGTTCATTTATTTTCAAAACTCTATTCCCTACGGACAGCGAAAGGTTTTTCAAGCGATCTCGATTCGACACAAAACGGTCAAGCATAATCGTACGAAACTTTAAGTGATGACAGTGCCAAATCTTCAATATGACAAATTTGATACATACCTGCCGGCAATGAGGAATATGGCATTTGTCACATAACAGCAATCCGCCATACCATTTCTAACGGCAGGACATAAATCCGGTTGACTGTTATCTAAGCTATGCTAATTTTCATAATTTTTAAGCTCTACTACTTACGACAGTAGCACAACAGCTTCAGTATTTTCGAACCATTTGGTCAACTGTCGGTCGCTGACCGTCTTCCCCGCGGCTTTTCAAAAACAGTTCCCCATCCGAATCTCTCCGCTTGTGCCCTCATCGCGTGTTCAAACTACTGCAACGGTGATCCCTCGATTGGAGAAGCAGAAGCGAACAAGGTGTCGAGATCTTCGTCCCGAATTTGTTAATGTAAAACAGAACGAATACGTCTAACAGTTGCATTGTTTGTTTTGTGTACACAGTCGAGTGCAGAGACGTTGTCTTGACCAAGAAAAAGACCTAATGCAGGAGGGTCGCATACAAGAAGGGACAGTAGGAGTTGCCGAGCAGGTTGTAACAAGTCAGAACCCGTACTAGCAGCATTGTTGGTACCTGCGATATGAAATGACTTCAGAGAACTTCAGTACGTTTCTACGAGAGCGCATATTCAAAGATAAAGTTACAGTGAATATTTAATACTTGTTTTCTGCTAAACGTGGAAAGATTCTTTTTTGAAACAGCAACATGGTGCAACTCGATGACGGACGAAGCGGCAAAGAATCGTAAAACAACAGAGGGTAATAAAACAGGACCATAGATATCAATGGGACTGAATAACATCCGGGCTGAAACAAAACAGTGTTACGGACCGTAATAAAGTGCAACTTGCATTAACGTGATAAATGAGAAGTTCTGGCTTAGATCAAACAAAACATGTAGTGGCACCAAGTAAAAGACACCAGAATTAATTACTTCTAGAAATTTCCGACCCTGAGGCAATGCGGCAGGCCACCTCGATTATCTTACACAATGCCAACTGCTAAGCAGAAACAGAGGCAGGGGACTCATCTCCCATATTCGGAAGTGGCATTACAAACAACAACTGAAACATCTACTGGAGGACATGGCACATAATAAGGGTGCGGGTAAAACGTTTACATAGTAGACGAAAGATCAACAACACTTAATGTTCCACGTTTTCGAATCTTGCTGCTGTTGGAACAGAAACAAATCTAGCGACCTATGGTTCACATGGCAACAAGCAAAACTGATGCCAAAGCTTTCATTATTGACGCGTTTCGGTATCACACCGGTAGCATCATCGACCCTGTGCCCAGAGATGTAATCAGTGTGGTGGCGAAACACATCGACAATTAAAGATTTAATATACGCGGTGTCTGGTGCCCTGAACAACGGATAATCAAATACCATAGCTGCCTTTCTGTCCGTCAAACAAGACAGAGAACACTTATTAAGCGTTACTGGAAGAAGATATCCGCTGTGCGACGGTATGATGTAGTGCCACGATGAACTATAATGAGAAAATGTCAGTCCTCTATGCGACAGATGCCCAAATACCCTGTTACCGTAAGGTACCCAATAAATTCGCATCAAAGGAGGAAAACCTCACTATAAACAAGGTAGTAAATAAAGAACACCTGCGTTATACAGCTGGCTAAAAATAAATAAATCGGTTTTCGGCAACGAGAAAGAATCTCGCAAGTGTTCGCGGCAGAACAGACTTTTCGAAGGTCTTTCGTACCATTTCTAGTCTAGTGTGTGCAGAACCCAAGCAGTGAATCTCCACTTTTGGAAACGAAACTTCGCAACTGCCAATGAGATTTAACGGCAAGTCGTACGAATTAACAGTTGAAAAATCTCCTGTGAATCTCTGCAGTTAGTGTGCATTATACTAGCCGATGTAACGCATTTCGTCATTATCGCGATTTATGAAGCAAATCCGATTTCTCTCTCAAAGCTCCTTGGGAGGGCTGGAGATCAACATAAGTCATGATATACGATTTACATTACGGAAATGCATTTCCTCCTGTCGCATATTTTTTTTAAATATATGACATCTTTTCATTTTTACGGTCAGTGATTTGTTTCAACAAACTGAACATAGGCACATTTTCGTTCGAATATGAGGTCTATTATCAGTATGGTTGACTGCAATTAGCGCCTTGACCGGTTTGGGATGGCTTTAGAGGTATGCCGCTTTCGGTTCCGTTTCGCATGATTGGTAAAAGTGAACAATCACTAAGTTATATGCATGAGAACGGGGATATATTAATACTTGCAATCGAAGCGAAAGAACTACATGCACCAGCCTTCACGAAAGTGCGAGAGCAGTAGAGCCAAAAAATGCTACTGCGAAATAAATGTTTTTTTTTCAAGTTAAGAGAAAAAGCAGCAAACTGTTCTTTTCACCAGCTGACAATATTGCATGACTGTCAAAAAATCGGTTGGTTACCAAGTTTGACGGATTTCATGTGCAATGTGACGGGGGTAGGAAATGAACAGGACGCACTTAATGGTGACAAACTTAATACTTAATGTATGATCTCACTGCGAAAAGAAAATCCTCCTAGCATGAGTATCGGAACAGATGTCAGTGAACACAGCGTAAAAAGTTGTTTGCATATTTTAAGTACGTGCAAGGGCGTCATATACTTGGAGGCACATAAGTTGCTGGCGGCGCAAGATTCGAGCATAGTCACGTTATTCTATACTTAAGGACAGTTCCGCCTACACATCTAACCGCTTTGTTGGACACTACTGACGCAAACGACTGACTGAAATTAGGAAAAGCGCTTTACTAAAAAATCAATAAGCTTGTGTATCAAATGATATTCCTCCAACATTTGAGCGCACATCCATAAAAAAACTTTTGCGGTAAACTGGTGATCGGCTTTGTTCTCTTACTGTTTTGCTCGAGGCAACTGTGGTTGCCGAACTGAAATCCATAACGTTTAGATGACAAGGACAAGCAACCACGACTACGATTCGCCGAGAAAAGTTTTTGAGGTAATGGGCGAAATGTTTGCACAAATGTTTATATCGCCATAAACCCACATCTGCTGCATTACAGTACGATTACCAATACAAATTATCAAATCAATTGCTGCATAATTTGCTTCGCGTCACATGGTCGTGAATAGCAAAACAAACCAGCTCGTATCAGATAAACACAAAAAGTATGCGATGCTCAACATTTAAACTTAAACTATTCACAATAAGCTGTTTCTGTCCAATGGGTCTCTAAGAGACCCGAAAAAGAATGGAATGACTGACCGGTGGTGCGATTCAGTTCTGACCAGAAATCATGCTCAATGAAATACCACATTATCAAAGCAACGAACTGCATGACATACGAAACGACAAGCGCAGGTACATGGTAAGAGATTTTAATCGCCGGCGGTCAAACGCGTGTAGATTTGTTGCCTTAGCAAATTTATGACCATCGGAAAGTAGAGCTCTGTTGGCGCCCGTCTATCACCGAGCCTTTCGACGCAGCCAATTAGGAGACCCCATTTGTTGTGTCTCTCAGAAACAAAGTCAGCTTCGTCCACTGACGGCCTGCCCGAATTACGCCCAATAAATTTCGCAGGCGGGAAATGGAGACCGGAAACAACGCCGTGGTAGACTTCAACAATCAACTGCACGAAGCATGTGTCTGCAAGACAGGACAGGATGACCGAGCAACGATCGGTGAACCTAGACAGATAGCCGATATTGAAACTAACAAGATCTAATCTAATCTATCTGCTAAGGCTGCTGTTCACATTCATTGAGACTACTGAATAACGTTTAATAAAGATAGTTATT